TTGGTTGGTGGTTTTGGGCCAATCATTCCCTCAGCCCAATCCACTTCAAAGAGTATTGTTATGGGGGAAATAGGAGGAGGGGGAGAGTACATATATTAGGTAAGTTTGCCACCTTGAGTTACTTATCAAGTAATAAAGGTGGGGTAAATAATTCATAAAAAGGAAAGAAAGAAGGAAAAAGGAAAGAAGGAAAAAGAAAAAGGAAGGAAGGAAGGAAGGAAGAAAGAAAGAAAGAAAGAAAGAAAGAAAGGAAGGAAGAAAGAAAGAAAGAAAGAAAGAAATGTTCACTTCAGGATATTCCATATCTAATTTCTTGAGATAACTGCTTCCTTATTCACTCTAGTTGAGTACAAGTAAACGACATATCAGAAACACACATCAGTAGCTCTCAAAAACTTTCTGATGAATGTTTTTGACCTGACAGTTTTATACACACATTTTCTATAAGGTTCTCAAAACTTTTATATAGTTTTCATGTAAGGTATCCTTTTATGACAGATATATTTTGAACTATTTATATTCCTCAACACATGCCTACATCACAGGTATCACATCACAGCTTTTAGAAATGGGACTGAAACAGTTGTTAAAAGCCCCCTCCCCCACCCAAAAAAGCAAAGTCTAGATTTTTTTAGTTAGATGACAAGAAGGAACACCCAGGAGTAGAGGTAGAATTTGCTCTAATGTCCTATTTGCTTCTCTGGGCACAAAGAACCTATCTGTCAATTAACAGGTATTACATGTTCAAGATAAAAATTCAAGGAAAAGAAAGGTGGCAATGGAACTAAAGAGCTATCAAGCAATAGCAATCATATGTTTTTTTATTGGGTATTAATTTCACCTTGCTTTTTTATTTTGGATAGAGTCAGTGTTGCTCAAACTGTCAGAAGTATAAAATACTAAATTAAGATCAAACATATAACTCAAACAATACATAATTTCTAAAGTCTGGGAGAAGTCATTATGTTTTCTCTGCTATTACTCCTGAATGTTCTATATCGGGGTGTCAAACTAGATTTCATTGAGGGCCGCATCAGGGTTGTGTTTGATCTCAGGGAGGCTGGGAGGGTGCATGGTCGGGGTAGATGTAGCTGGGGTGGGCATGGCCAGGAGTGGCCAGCTCGATGTCACTTGTGTCGGGGGCACCTGTGGCGGCCATGTGCTAAGGCAGGATTTCCCTCAGACCCTCCCTCAGTCACATTATAATCCTCCCTCTTTCCTTCCTTTTCTTCTTTTCTTCTTTTTTCTTCCCTCTTCATTCTCCTTTTTTTTCCCTTCTCCTCTTTCCTTATTTTTCCTTCCTTACTCGCTTCCCATATTTTTTGTCTTTCCTCTTTCCCCTTCTCCTTTCCTGACACTTCTTGGATTCTCAAATGCAAAAGCAGAAACATTTCTCCTTTTGTTTTGTTTTTAGTTTGTTTTGCTAGCTCTCTGCCAGTGAAAACGGAGCTCAGGGTGGGTGAGAAATGATCTGCCCTCCCAAGTTCCATTTTTTTTTCTGGCAGAGACACTGCGGGCCAGTCCTTTGCTGTTTCCAGGGTGGCCCTGTAGGACAGATCTAAGCACCCCATGGGCCAGATGTGACCCCCCGGGCCATGAATTTCACATCCCTGTTCTATATTGTTGGTGCCCATAGACAAGAAAGTTTTTTTCTTTATGTGCTGTACTTCTGTCCACACTTATCTTCTTTAAAGACAGGCAGCTATGCACTTAATAATTAGCCATTTGTATGTTTGGATAAATATAGGTATAGAAAATCTCAAGTCAAGTGTAAATAGGTCATCCATTGATCTTTTAAAACACTTGTGGTTGGAGAATTAAATGACATGGATGAGCAGAATCTGAGAGAGAAAGCTGGATCTAAAAATTGCTAGTTTGGGCTACCTGTAATGTAAACCCAGTTCAATTGTTTTGTTTCATAATGTTTAAAAAAAAATGGAAGATTTTGATTTAAGTCACTTGTGATCAGTGTAAGAGAACCCTGGTGTTTTGCAATTGGATTCTAACAGTCAATACCCAGCAGGGATATTGATCCTGCTAACTTCACATGAAAACATATTTTCCAAACACTAAGCGAAAACAAAATTTGATCTGTTTCATTGACAGATCAGAGAGCAAAGTGAGATTAAAAAAAAAACCTTTTGCCTTTCTTTTTCATGTATCTTCAAATACTTTGGGTGTTCAAGAGAATGGGTTCAACAAATTTGAATCATGACCCTAAAATTGGTTTTGTGGACTTTTTTGGGGGGTGGGGGTGGGGGTGGCATTTGCCCAAAATAAATCATATGTTTTAAGATAAATCATATCTAGAAAAAAGAAGATATGAAAGCTAATCACATTGTGAGCAACACATGATCAAATGTATTGCTGTATTTAAATTGCAAGTCTCATTCATCTCTTAATACTTTCTTGGTGCATTAATGGCATTTCCTACAGAGGCTAATGTACTTTAGTGATAGTAGTTGAACTGCGTTCATATTAATAAGGTCTTCAGTTTACATAAACAAAACATGAGACTAGAATGTTAGACTGCACTGGTCACAACGGAAAAGGAGCATAGATGACAAAAAGTAAAGAATATTTTCTGGTCATTACACTGGGAGTCATATATCATAGTCCTCAAAAGCTTCAAAGTCCAAGTTGGCAATAGGCCCTGTGTAGTGTGGGTTCTATCTTTCCATCACAATTTGTTTACATGTTGCCATTTTCAACCTTATGTCTCCACACTCAACATTTCTAGTCTGCATAGCAACTACTACTTGCTGCAGAGGTTGGCAGGTGTAACATGTAGAGAATACTAGGCTGCTGTGTATGTCTTCATGTATGTATGAGATGTGGTTGTGATGCATTAGGTTGTCATGGTATCCTGCTAGGTAGCAGCTGTGGTGGCAAGGCATCCAACTGATGAGTGTGGTTGGCATGGCAACCTCAAGGGGCCTGTCTTTATTCTGCCCATACTCAAAAGATTGGAGTGGGGAAGGTCTTTCTTGGAGTGGTTATCCTAGGGACCACATCTGTTGATTTGTCTATTGCCATAAAGCACATCATGAGGCCCATCTTCAGCCACTGAGCTGCCTTCTGGAGGAGAGGGCAGCTCCTTAGATACCAGGAGCGCTCTTCAAAGAACCGGGTTGCCATGGCGCCAATTTCAACGAAGATGCGGTTGCCATGACAGCGACGCAGAAGGCAAGATAGAGGGGACCCAAGGCGACTCGCGCCCTCCAGACGCCAGAGGACGCTGCCCGGCGCAGAAGCGTAGTAAGACATAACGCGGAGTAGTCACTCTATCCTCCCCTCCTTTACTCTATGGCCCTCTGTGCGAGCTTCAGAGCGAGGCGGCCAGTCCAGCTGCGGCGGACTCGTTGGTGGGGTTAGCCCCGCCTCCTCTGGCGGAAAGATGGCGGCCGCCAGCGCCGTCGAGTGAGCTGTGGAGGTTCGCCCCGTCGGGAGCGATTCGTAGCTGGAAGCATCGAGGTGGGGTCTCCCCTTGCCGCGTCCTCCCGGAGTACGCGTGGAAGCGCTGGCCCCGTGCGTGGGGAGGGGGAATCGCGCTCCTCCACGCCGTGGTTCGCTGTCGCCGAAGGGCTGCTGCTGCCTCTTTCAGCCGTCCTTGAGAGGAAAAGGGGCTTCAGTCGCCTCCTTGGGCTCTCCCTTCAGAGCATAAACCGGGGGGTGGACGGGAATGCCGATTGAAGCCGATCCCCCAAAGGCCAGAGCCATAAATTCATTGATTTCTTTATATATCCAAACTTCTTACAGGTGAAGGTTGTGCAATTTGATACTCTGGGAGATGTGCAATTTAATCAAGATCATAAAACATTAAAAAAAAACCGAAAAATTTAGGATATTAAAAAAAATCAAAAATGTAAAACATAGAAATATATATGAGTATCATAGGGTAG